CAGGAAGCCCGAGGCAGAGTTGCTCTGCCCCAGGCTTCCTGGAATCAGCCGCTGATCAGTTTCAGCAGCAGCTGACTTAGGGACGCCTGGGTTTCTTAAGTTGAATCTGTATGTAAGTCAGAACTGATCAGTTTAAGCAGCGGCTGACGCCAGTTCCGACTTACATACAGATTCAACTTAAGAACAAACCTATAGTCCCTATCTTGTACGTAACCCGGGGACTGCCTGTATTCCGCTGTGTAGAAGATATGGCAAAAGACGGCCTTGGCTTAACCGAGAGATCTTGCATGATCTAAAAATAAAAAGGGACAAATTACAAAGGATGAATATAGGCAAACAATACAGGAATGCAGGGGCAAGATTAGAAAGGCAAAGGCACAAAACGAGCTCAAACTAGTGACAGGCATAAAGGGAAACAAGAAGACATTCTATAAATATATTAGAAGCAAGAGAAAGACCAACGACAGGGTAGGCCCATTGCTCAGGGAGAAGGGAGAAACAGTAATAGGAAACTTGGAAATGGCAGAGATGCTTAATGTCTTCTTTGTTTCGGTCTTCACCGAGAAGTCTGATGAAGGAATGCCTAACATAGTGATAAAATAAAAAAAGAACAAGTTAAAAATCACTTAGAAATGTTAGATATCTGCAAGTCACCAGGGCCTGATGAAATGCACCCTAGAATACTCAAGGAGCTGATAGAGGAGGTATCTGAGCCTTTAGCTATTGTCTTTGGAAAATCATGGAAGATAGGAGAGATTCCAGAACACTGGAAAAGGGAAAATATAGTGCCCATCTATAAAAAGGGAAATAAGAACAACCCAAGAAACTACAGACCAGTCTGTTTTAACTTCTGTGCCAGGAAAGATAATGGAGCAAGTAATGAAGGAAATCATCTGCAAACACCTGGAAGATAATAAGGTGATAGGGAACAGCCAACATGGATTTGTAAAAAACAAATGTCAAACCAATCTGATAGCTTTCTTTGATAGGATAACAAGTCTTGTGGATAAGGGAGTTCTGGGCACCACATTTCAAGAAAGATGTGGTGAAATAGAAGAAGATCCAGAGAAGAGCAACAAGAATGATTAAAAGTCCAGAGAACATGACCTGTGAAGGAATACTGAAAGAATTGGGCTTGTTTAGTTTGGAAAAGAGAAGATTGAGAGGGGACATAATAGCAGTTGTAAGGTATCTAAAGGGTGTCACAAGGAGGAGGGAGAAAACTTGTTCTTCCTAGCCTCTGAGGATAGAACAAGAAGCAATGGGCTTAAACTGCAGCAAGGGAGTTTTAGTTCGGACATTAGGAAAAACTTCCTAACTGTGGGTGGTTAAACACCCTAGGGAGGTTGTGGAATCTCCATCTGTGGAGATATTTAAGAGTAGATTAGATAAATGTCTATCAGGGATTGTCTAGACAGTACTGGATCCTGCCATGAGGGCAGGGGACTAAACTCGATAACCTCTCGACATCCTTTCCATTCCTAGTATTCTATGATTCTGTGATTTGGTCCATACTTTTGCATTGGCCCATCAGGCATGGGTAGGGTTGTTTTCCGCTCAGTTGAAGGTAAGAACTCCGATCCCGCCTCCTTAGGGTTTCTGCTTTGGAGTCACCTACATGGAATGACATGAGCAATCACTCGAAGAAGAAAAAATGGTTACTTGCCTTTTGTAACTGTTGTTCTTTGAGTTGTGTTGCTCATGTCCATTCCAAATCCTGCCCAGTAAGAAGGAACCAAGAGGGTGGTGGGCCAGCAGGGGTATATATTAGCCGAAATAGCAGCACCACTTCAAAGGCCCCCCATGCTGGCCCAACTGATACTGCGAAGGGAAAACCTTCTGACAGTGTGTGCACACAGCATGCACACATACCTAAATTTAATGTACATGAGGAACACATCTCGAAGAACAACAGTTATGAAAGGTAATTAACCACTTTTTCATTCTAATCACAAGCAGATGTGCAATAAGTTCAAGTTCAAGTTAAAACTCTGACATGGAGGTAACGCTCTGGCTAAGATCTTATATAGTCTCTTATCAAGTCATTATCTCCTAAATGAGCCAACAGGTCTCCCTTTTTTCCAACTGTTGTCATTTAACTCACTGTTGCCAGTGAAATACGATCTGTATTTTGATCAAGTACTCCCCTCCAGCCTGTAATAAATCCCTCATATCTGGATTGTATGATTAAAATAGTGGAATGAGTGGTCAGGGAATCTGATCATTTTCCCATTTAATCAAAAATGCTTTTGCAAGGAAGTAAGTGATAGCACCTGGCAAACAAACTTCTATTAAATGCACCTCACTGAGATATTTATATTTCTTTTCTCAAATGTCTCAAGTGCAGTACTGGTCTAGCCTAGTGTGCTGGTTGTATAACTTGAATTTTTTGTGTTGGTGAAGATCTTGTACTATCCTTCAGTGGGAAACTGTACTGGAAATACCTATTCAGTAATCACCAAAGGCAAAGCAAATTGTTGCTTTGAAGTATTTTTTTCTGAGCCCCATGGATAATGATTTAGCAGTGTCCAGAGAGAGCAAAATCACTCCAGCCTTCCTTTTAGTTCCACTGGTTAGATTTTAACACGGGATTTCTGAGACCCTCCATCTGTACATCGCTCTCAGCATTAGGGGTACTGAATGTGACACTGCATTGTTTTGTCATGTGTCAACCGACTTTCCTAATGCGGTAAGTGTCTTGTTCTCAATCCCCCCCCCCCCCCCCCCCCCTCTCATCCTTAGGCCCATGCAGCTGTTAAGAGCTATGGTGAGAACAGCTTCAGAGGATCACTTTACCTTCGTTCTCGTGGAAAGGATCTAGTGCTGCTGGAGGCTGATATGAGCAAGGAGAATAGAAAGAATATGAGGGTTGTTGGAGTGAGCGCTCTTCTGTATCAGGCAATTCTGACAGAACCAGAGTCAGTACAGCTGCAGCTAATGAGCAAAGTATCTCCAACAAGGTAAAGAAAACAATGTAATAGTAACCTTCCATAATGGACATTCTGAAGAGTTCTCCTTAATATATATGTGGGTTTTTTCAGTTTTAAGCATGAAATTTTGCATTCTGACATCTGCAGAAAGCCATTGAGTAGAGACTATGTTCTTTGCATACTCCTAGATATGGCAATATTTTGCTCTTTGAGTTTTTGAAACACAAGAACAATGTTATAAGCCTCTCTCTACTGGCTGCTTTCTTAGATCAATGTTCATAGATTAAGTAGAGAGCAGGAGAGAAACCCTGTGAGTAAATTAGTTCTTCATGTTAGGTCATCAATTTTTTTTCTCATTTTTCTCTGGCAAGTGAAGCAGAATTGCTATTTGCCAGCTTCCCTGGGAGTAGGAGGCATAGTGAGGCATAGTGAGAAGCATCAGTATTACCCAATATCTGAAAAGTTCTGTGAAGGACCTTCAGTGACCGGTGTGTAGACCTTAGTCTGTCTAACACCAAGCCCTGGATTTAATCCATTGGACCATGCCTCTTTTAGAGCACAGTTTCTCAACAACCAGTCCATGGACCAGCACCAGTCACAGATTTCCCTGACAGTTTAGGAAGGTGGCTACAGACGGCATTGGCACCAGCACCACCTTTCACTCCTGCAGCAATTCTGTTCATATCTCCCCAGTGTAAAATTATCTCCTGAAAGAGGCTTTGAATTTTTATAAACATTCAAGTACTTTGTTCAAAATTCCATTGGCAGGGGAAGAAAAAATTGTGAAATTACTACTTCAAGTATATGTTCTTATGGATGTTCTGGTGCAGGATGTGTGCATCTCATGCACTCTCAATCGAACACTGCAAAGTCCTTTTTCTCTTTGTACACTAGACCATGCTGGTGTAACCGGCTAGTTGAACATGGTACAAACTTTTAAAATTTACTCCACGGGAGATTTTAAAAATTCTCCAAGTACATTGGACCACTCTTTCAGCCTAAGTGTTCATTTTTGTACACATAAAGAGTCTCTTGTGCATACTCATGAAGGGTGTGGGAATACAGTGAGCAGTCAACCAATAGTGGCATGTCAGACAAGCTCCGTTGCTTGCACAAATATGCATGTAAATAAATAGGAGTGGCCTTCAGTCTTGTTTGAAATTTGACCTTTTGAATGTAATCTCTAGAATTATTTTTTCTAGTGAGAAGCAGTGGAGTCTGCTCTAAGCAAATGGAAATAAGGAAGCTTGCTTATGTTTGGTGTGTTATGGTCACCAAAGATGAAGGAAAAATTGTTCTCCAACTTGTTTCATGGATTTCTTTTACCATGTTCAACACTTATCTAGCATAAGCGCAGAATATACACTAGACAGCCACTGTGCAAAATGGAGGTTCAGTTTTGCCATACGTTAATAAAGAGGTAGAGTGATATTAAATATTGAATGCTCATAACACATCTTTATTGATAATGTTACGCCAGATACTTGTGTTTGTTTCTTTCCTTCTTAGACTTTTATTATCTTCTGAGCTGAAGCTAAATGAGAACAGGCTTCATCTAGATTTTGTGGGAGCCAAGGAGCAGAAAGTTGGTCTTGTCCTGTCCCTGTATGGGAAAGTCCAACACAACATTGGTGGCTTGGAGGTCATACCACAGTTTTTTTCTCTGAATGGATCTCTGAAGCGCAAGAACAACATTCATGAAGGTACTTCCTCACTATGGCTGTGTCTACATTGGCACCCTTTTCCGGAAAAGGGATGCTAATGAGACCAGTCGGAATTGCAAATGCTGCAGGGGATTTAAATATCCCCCGCAGCATTTGCATGAATATGGTTGCCGCTTTTTTCCGGCTCAGGGTTTTGCCGGAGAAAAGCGCCAGTCTAGACGGGATCTTTCGGAAAATAAAGCCTTTTCCGGAAGATCCCTTATTCCTCTTAAATTCAAGAGGATAGTTGTATGTGTGTGGCTACCAAGGGAGGTTTCTTATTATACACTGAGTATAAATATCACCATGATTTTTTTATGTATTTAACACTATTAGCAGCTTAGAACAGAAAACAGATGTTTAGAAGGCTTATGCCTTCACTTCTCTCGTCCTTCTCGCATGAACAGACAGCATCAGTTTCCGGAATTCAGAGAGTTTTATTGAGGTTAAACTCAATGTTTATTGAGGTTAGCTTTCAGCAAGCTTGAATCCAGTTTCTTTTTTCCTTTCTTCCTCATATCTTCTTTTTCCCCAATTTATATAGTAATATTCTCAGTGATACCTTAACCAATCATTTTACTGAAATTTAACTAATGAATCCAAACATACTGTACCATGATTGTCTAACCATTTATATCCAACTACTTTGATTGGTTCGCACCCGGCAGACAGAAATAATCAAAGAACCAGACTGAGACCATCCAGATGAAGAATAAAGAAGTGGGGACTAAAATGACAAAAACAATAAAGAAACAAGGATTTTAAAACCCAACATTTGATAAGTCAGCCCTTGTCAGACAGAAAGCTATAAACCCAAGTTTTCTTTAAATCTTCTAGGCTCTTTTCTTTATCTGGAAGTAACAGATAATATTGCCTTTCAAATGGCCCAGAATTGCTGTATTTCAGTGTGATTTGTTTGGGAAGTGTGAGGACGTGACTATAGATTTCCCAGCTACTGTCTTCCCAGAGGTGTAGTGAGGGTGTTATGTGCCTGGGGGCAAAGACAACATTTTCACACCCCACGGCTGCATTGCGGGGCCCTGAATCTGGCACACAGCTGAGCCCATCCCTGGGAGTAGGAGTGGGGGAGTTTGTACCGCGTTTCCCCCTGCCCCCTCCTGGTTGGGGCTGGGCCCTTGCACGCACTAACCCACCAGCAGAGATAGAGGAGGGGAAGGGGAGGGGGGGGCCCGCCCCAGCCGGTGGGGGGGGGTGGAGTAGGAGCAGGTGAGCTGAGATATGATGGGGGAGTGGAGGGGGACTAAATTGGCCCCCCAACATGATGCCCCAGGGGCAACTCTCCCCTGTCCCCCATTGCTACACCACTGTAAATAATCTTCCTCTTAGGATATTTATTGTTTAATGAATTACTTATTTTACTAACTACAGACAAATATAAATGAGATTTTTTGTGGTTTACATTCTCTTAAATAATTTTTTCTCTTTAATTTATTCGTATCCCATTCTCGTGACGTTCTTGTCTTTTATATTAAAAATGTCAAATTCTTAAAATATGTAAGTATTATAAAACACAAGAGAAATAAATGTTATATAACCTAAATATGAATTTCATCACTATATTTCAATCAAGCATTTAAAACCACTGTTATAGCAAACGAGTAACTCGTTGCTTTAATGAATAAAAGGTAAAAAGATTTTGAGCATATCAAATTTATTGTAAGAAATCTGTAATGCTTCCTAACTGCGTAATTACTTACCTAGTCAACCTAGCTGGTTTTCACAGCGATAAACTACATCATAGTTATGAATGTAAGAGATTAATTTACCTGTTAAAATAACACACAGAAAATCTTTTAAATAAAACTAACACACAACACGACAATCGCCCTCACTTTCTTCAGGGCACTTGAAGCAATAAGTAGTCTAAGGCTGAGATTACACTTCAGGCATGGCTTTCTGTCTGCCACGAGGACTTTTTCCTTCAGGCTGCCGTGAAAGTCTATCCTTAAGTAAAGGAGAGAGGTCTCTCTGAGCTGCTCTTCCAAATTTCACATAAGCCATTTAACTGAAGCCATAGATGTCAAGATTTGAGACCAGACTTGCCTTGAGCAGACTGCCTCACCAGGTGTTCATAATCACAACATCTGAATACATATACAACTTTTAGTTGAGAAAGCCATGTTAATCCCAAGTCTCTGCTATGACTGGGAGATGTGGGTGACCTATAGAAAACACCGGCATTTTCTTTGGAAAATCTTCAACAAAATGTGGGCGGATTGATCACCTCAGTAATGCCACCTCCTTTTGAACTGAGGCCCTGATTATCCAGCACCAGCTGAGGGGCCACAAGAACTGTGCGCACATGTCTGATATGTTTTTACCAAAACTGCTGCCTGCCCAGCTTGCCAAAGGAGAAAGGAAACAGGGAGGCTGAAATGAATGGCTAAATCAGGGGTGGCCAACCAGTTAGACACGAAGAGCTAAAAGAACTGTGGATAGTAGTGCAAAGAGCCACACATCCCTCCCCCAGAGCCAGGTACCTCCAGCCCTCCTGCTTTAACCCAATGTAGCCATCTCTCCCCCAGAAACAGGCACCACCAGCCCCCCTGCTTTAACCCAATGCAGCCATCCTTACCCCAGAGCCAGGCACTGCAGCCCCTCCCCCCCTTCAACCCAATGCCCCTCTCCCAGAGCCAGGCACCCCAGTTCCCCCTCTAACCCAATGCACCTACCCCTCCCTCAGGGTATGTCTACACTACCCCCCTAGTTCGAACTAGGGGGGTAGTGTAGACATACCCTCAGAGCTAGGCCCCCCCACTGCTCTAACCCAATCCCCCACCCCCTCCTGCAAAGCCAAGCACCGGGTGGATGGTAACCCTAACTTAGAAGTCTCCGATCCCATCAGCAAGCTCTGCCTCAGCTGGGAGCATGTGGCCCAGCAGTGCTGGACTTGCAATGATGTGTGGGGCTGTGCACTCCCACCTCAGACAGTTGCCCCCTAGCATGGCATCCAGGGGCAACTGCCCCTCCTCCCCCGCCTCCCCTCATTACGCCTCTGTGGCTGCCCCTGCTGCTTAGCCAAAGGCCTTGGTTTAAGAATAAGACCACAGACTACCACAGTGAGAGAAGGCCCATACACAGGCAGACTGTGATTTTGATTCTTTGTTTTTATGTGTCTGTAGTCAATGGCTGTGTCTAGACTGGCCAGTTTTTCCGGAAATCAGCCGCTTTTCCGGAAAAACTTGCCAGCTGTCTACACTGGCCGCTTGAATTTCCGCAAAAGCGCTGACTTCCTTCTGTAAGAGATCAGTGCTTTTTGCAGAAATACTATGCTGCTCCCGTTCGGGCAAAAGTCCCTTTTGTGCAAAACTTTTGTGCAAAAGGGCCAGTGTAGACAGCTGAGATTTTTTTTGCGCAAAAACGCGTCTAGATTGGCCAGCGACGCTTTTCCACAAAAAGTGCTTTTGCGGAAAAGCGTCCGTGCCAATCTAGACGCTCTGTTCCGCAAATGCTTTTAACGGAAAATTTTTCCATTAAAAGCATTTCTGGAAAATCATGCCAGTCTAGACGTCTGTAAGTGATAAAAATACCTAAAGTCTTAATATATTGACCCTTAACACAGGCCTGAAAATTTATATCCTAACAGCATCAATTTAATATTTATGGTGAGTTTCTTGTGATGTGAACAGCTGTCCACTGGGTAGAGATAAAAATTGTTTTTAAATGGAAATTGGCAATACAGATCATTAAAATGTTTCTGTTTTGACTGAAAATGTTCATGGTTTTCAATGGGAATCATTTTATACTCTTTTAGACTTAAAATGAGATGTTTTGGGTTTTCAAAGTTTTATTTTTTGACAAAAACCCCAAAACATTTTGAACAAATTTTGAGGAAAATGAAACAAGTTTGTCTCCATTGCCATTTTTCATTGGGAGCAATATATTTCCCAACCGTCTCTACAGAAAATACAGGGTGAGGCTGGCCCACAGCTCCCTCCCCCTCTAGGCTGGGTCTATGGATTGCAACAGAGGAATTGCTGAAAGTGTGCTGCAGAGGTCGGGGAGGGATTATGCACACAGGGATTGTGCACATGGTCCCATCCCCACCATGTATGGGAGCAGTACCATGTGCCTTTGGGGCACCATGCGCTTTCTGTGCCACAGTCCCTCTACAAGGTTCCCTTGGATCAGGGCTTGGCACCATCTGGCCTGCAGCCCACCTTGGTGCGGGAGGGGGACAGGGGAGAGAGGCTTTGCGCGCTCCTCTGCCCCCAGGACCTGGTAGGCCAGAGGGCATGGAAGTGCGTGCAAAGTCTCTTGCCTCCAAGGGACGCATGATCCTGAGCGGCACATGGAGGGAAACCATGTTGTGACTGGGGTTGCTGCAGGAGGTATCCTGCCTCAGGGACCCTGTTGGACTGATGGCTGGGAGCTGCCTAAGGTAAGTGACTCCCAGCCAGGGCCTGCCTTCTGCACTTCAGCTCCTGCCTCTTGCACCCCAGCCCTTCCCACTTCTTAACTCCCTGCCCCAGGACACCACCCAAATCCTCTGCACACTGCCCCAGATCACAATTCCTCCCAGAGCCTGCACCTCTGCTACACCCCTCTTCCAGGTCAAAGTTCATTCCTTCACCCCTATTCCCTCCCAGACCCAGCCAGCACCCTAATCCCTTGCCCAACGTCACAATCACCTACTTCACCTAAACTCCTTCTCAGACCCCACATCCCCTCCTGCACCCCAGACGCCTACCCCAAATTCCCTTCTGCACCCGACCACCATCCCAAATCCCACACACCCTCCTTTGACCACTTTTCAAAATCTTGGAGTGGTCCCTGATCAAAAATTATTGCCCACCCCTGCCTTGGATGATGCAATATACTCAGTCCAGGGTGTTGGAAAGCAGTTTGGCTCTTAAAATATGCTAATTTTTAAGAAATGCTAATTTAATCAGAAATGCTAATACAATGCTCTCATCAAAAGGTACTTCCACTAGCTAATTGCTGTCTCTCTCTTTCACTAAGCAGATTGCCTAACTGGAATGAGCTAAATAATTTATCACAGCTGATGGACATGCCCTTAATTCCTGTCTATATTAAATTAAAGGGTTACTCTTCATGGTTGTCCAATCTGATTATTTTTTCTCCTCTCGTGCCAGTTTCCCAAGCCAAAGGGCTCTGTGCAATTACTGTTTCTGTCCCTTGCAGGTAACATCAGTGTGGTGCTCAATAAGGCACTGTATGGGCTGCAGCTCAGGAACAGAAATGTATTTGGGAACATCAGTCTGCACAATATCACTTTCACATTGACCCAGAACGGCAGCCAGGCAATCCCAATGGAAGCAAAGTTAAAAACACACCTGGAGCTCAATAAAGGAGTCAAAAGGGGTCTAGCTAGTTTTCAGGTGGATGGGCAAGCTCTCTCTATGGATGTTTCCAATGTCATGAATCGGGAACACAGAGGAATCACTGGGACTCTCATACATAACATCAGCTCTTTGAAAATTGCAGGTATGAGAAAACTACAACTCAGTCAAATCGGTGGGTAACACAACATGTAACAAAAGAATTTATACTGCACGTAAATGGGTGCAAGCCCATACAGTCTAGAGTCAGTGGGGTTGTACTTGCTTACTTCTGGCCCAGATTTTCCCCATCTTCACCTTAACTTCAACAACAGTCTTACCGATAGTCTTAAGAAAATAAAACAGAATGGATGTAAGAATGAACCATCTTGTGGAATGAGGTATTCTAAACATCCATTTGTAGAGTAAAAATAAACCAGGTCCTATTTGGCATGTAGACTTTGATAACTTCCTACAGGCTGAATGCACCTACCTCTCTTGCCTTGAATGGTCTGGTTTGGTTGTTTTCACAGTTTTTTCCCCTTGAAATGTTCTAATAGCAGTATGGTGGAACCACAGACAACGTACATGTATCATACTGAATTCCTTTGAATGGCCTACCAAGCCTGAGGTATAGCTTCTCAAAAACTATAAAGAGTAGGAGAGTTAAGAATCACTTATCTCTTTATTTAGGAAAGAGGAGCCCTTGATTTCCAAAAATACATTCCAAATCCAAGTAAAGTCTTTAAATTTACCTTTGTTAATACTGTAAGGCTACATCTACATTGCGTTTTCTTGTGCAAGAACATATGCAAATGAGGCTCCATTTTTACACAAGGGACTTTTGTGTAAGAATGAGCAGTCTACACTGCTCCTTCTTGCGCAAAAACCCCCTCTTGCACAAGAGCCGTTCTGCCTGAAAATAAGCGGCAGAATGGCTTTTGCACAAGAGGGGTTTTTTGCACAAAATGACTGCTCCTTCTTTCACAAACGCCCCTTGTGCAAAATGGCGGCTCATTAAGTATGAAAATGAGGCATGGCGATATTCATTGCCACACCTCATTTGCATATGTTCTTGTGCAAGAAAGCACAATGTAGACGTAGCCTAATACTCTAGGGGGTTTCATTGCCGTCTATGCATGTTGTGAATTCATTGTAGAAGTTGCAACTCACTGATCTGTAGTGGTATAAGCAAAAGCTATGCTATTATTATGAAAAGTGGAAGAAACTCAGTTTCTCTGTTTATTACATTTTATCGATAATTGCTAGCCATTCAACAGTACTGAAATTTCCTTGCATGGTTCTTTTCAGCATCATGCATTATATTTTCTTATTTGGCTCTCTGTCAACAGGATTTCCTACAGATGGTACTATCACTGCCATATATGACCATGTCATTGCCAACCACACTGTTACTGTAGCCTTACAGAGTGGCAGCGAAAGGATTGTTGCTGCACTTGGAGTTGAGAGACTGTCCTTAGAATCTCCTAAGTTACAACTAACTGCAAGTTTGAAGCACAACATCACAAAGCTAAAGAAACATGGTATCCCTTTTACTATAGAAGGTGCTTGCTATTACCAGGTAAAAAGAGTGATTAGTTCAGCCTCAGGCAGAATCATGTGAAACAATTATAGATTGTTCTGCTGTGGGCACGGGGCTGGACTCAGTGACTTCTTTGAAGTCTCTTCCAGCCCTAGGATTCTACGATTGTTCTTATGGGCTGCGTTTCATTCCAATTAGTGGGAGTGGAATAGTCCCTCCTCATGTGTGCTGAATTACTGTATTGAAGAAAGATTTCTGCATCTCTTCTAGTCATACTTTACAGTTCAGGGGTTGGGAACCTCTAGTCCACAGGCAGGATCCGTTCCCCTGCCTCTGACAAGACTAAGGTTCCTCACCCCTGCTTTGCATCGAACCTAGATTGTATTTAAACTAAATGAAATATGTTAAATTCTGGATGTAAGTTGTAGCCTGTTGTACAAGAACAGAATCTTGTCCATGTGTATAGGCCTGATTGTACAGAAAAATGAAGCAAGTAGGCAGAGCCTAGAGGGACAGCTGCTGTCAGGAGAGTGCCCACAAACCAAAGCGCCTCTGATGGATCTAACATTGGAGTAACCAACCTTGACAAAATCCCTTTAACATCTGTTCTAAAGAGCTGAACTTCATGTCCCTTTCCTTCAGAGCTGTTTATCAACATGGGCTTTCTCTCTTCCCCTGTGCTATTTCCTTGTCTGTTGTTGTGGTTAAACACAATCCTCTGCTGTAGCAAAGCACAACCTCTTCAGTCTCTGCTATGTAAATGGAGGAAACTAAGGTGCAATGTATTATCCCTTCTGCGTGACTATGTTGTGAGGCTAAGATCCTTCCTGGCAACGGTGTAGTCAGATACTATGGGAAGGAGCGCCGTGCAACTGCTCTTTCAGGCAGTAATATCGTAATCAGGCAAGCTGTTGAGATCTGGTCCTTCCCAGGGCTGAGTGCTCTTCACACCAGTTGGGATCCAGAGAGCAGGGGATCCCAAACTTGCAGTTTGCAGGATGTAGCCCAACATGAAGATTCCAACTTGGAGACAAAGCCAAGCCTGTCCAGTGTCCCTTTAATCGTGATTTTAAATGGTGCTTTCTCTGCAGACACATTGTGTTCATAGCTAGTGGAAATAACTCTTCCGTGTTTGCCAGCTGCTACTATTACATTGCTGTTTGGGTTTTCTCACCATTTGGTTTCTCTTCTGCTCAGAACTTCAGCAAGAAGATAGCTGCTGGGGTAACAGCCAGGGTGGAGAAGGAACATTTCAAGATGGGAGTAGAAAAGAAAAGCACCAGGAGTACTGTGGAAATTGTCCTTTCGTTACACCATGACCTGAGAGGACTGCTTACCATTGTCCCAACTGTGGTACAGGTTAGCAGGAAAACCCTTGCCTTGGGCATAGGCGATATATTTCACTGTCTTTCATGCTCTGTTTCTCAAATTTAAAATCTTATAGTGAAGAGGAGACTTTTTCCCAAATGAGGCCAGTATGAAAAGTCTGAACACCATTCAAAATCCCACTGTTCTTTTAAGCAATTTTTTTTCAAAGTGAGACATAATGGTTCACCCCATCAAAATGCATTACCTCATTTACGTGATTATCAGGTAGTCAGGTGCCTCATAACTCATGTTCTAATATGGGATTTTACAGATGAAGCAGGCTTGATTTTGTGGGTCCAGCTGCTATTACTGTTCATTATTAAGATTTGCAGTACTGGCCAAAATATGCAAACACAATCCCTGCCCCATAGATCCTACAATCTATACTACTTGAAAATATGTTCCTGTTACAGCAGGTGGCATTGAAACATTAATATTTATTCTGATAATTCCATTTACCATGTCATTTTCATTTTAAATATAGGAAAGACCATAAACGTGGCAAAATCAAATTCATTATATGCTCAATAGTTATTTTTTAAAATGGACCTCACTCTATGTTCAGTAAATAGACATTGCTTGTGTTTGAAGACATTCTACTCATTCCTGTAAATTGGGTCAGCTTAACGACAAGCTTTAGCATTAGAGCTCACCTACTACTTACCTTTTTGAGCTACTGTCCTTAACTTAGGCTGCTATTTTTTCCTCCTGAAAAGCAATCTCTTAATGTACTCATTTGTCCATCTGCTCAGTATTTAGTCTGCTTTACTCATATTTTTAATAACATGGTATACTGACATGCCTGCAGGTCAATTGCAATGGAGAATCTACCTCTGATCAGCTTTCTGGACATTGCAATGGAGAGGTTACAAGCTGTTTATTTGAGGTACAAGTTTGATTTTCAGAACTCTTCCACCAACAGTATAGACCTAGCTCCCACAGAGTAAATATGGAAGGTTGTTGTAGGCTCAGAAATGGGTCTGGGTTACCAGGAGGTTTTGTTAATGCTTTCAAATATCTTCACTCCTTTAATAGCACAAGGGACATGCAGGTCAAAGCATTGTTAAACAAAAATTGGCCATGCACGTATTAATGTTCCATTTTACCACAGCTGCATGGGTAAAACTACATTCCAGTAGTACAGATTGCATCCTTGATACATCTATATATACCTAGTTTAAAGCTCATAGCGGGCAGGGAAGCAGATTACAGACCAGGTAAGTGCACTTTCAAAGGTAATTTTTGAGCATCATTTAGCAGACAAGTTGCATTGCTTACAATCAGAACTCAGTGCAAGCAGTCATACCTGAGGAATGCAGTGGCATCATGAAACTTAGTTGGGATCAGTCCTGCTTTGGGCGGGGGGCTGGTCTCAATGACGTCCTGAGGTCTTTTCCAGCCCTAGGATTCTATGATTAGGGAGCACGTAAAAGCAAAGGCAAAAGAGTTTCATTGATGTTACTGGGTAAACCCTAAAAAACCAACTATATCTGTAATCTAGAAGTGGAAAAGGAAGCGAATCCCCTAAGGGTGTCCCGCTCTCGCTCCACCTCTTCCTGCTCCCACTCCTCCCTCTCTCTCCTACTGCCTCTTGTCTACCACTGAACAGCTGATCAGTGGTGGGTGGGAGGAGCTGGGGGGAGGGGCTGATCAATAGGACCCAATGGCAAGTGGGAGGTGATGGGGAAAGAGGGCAGGAGCTGATTCATATGGTCCACCAGTACTTACTAAGCACTTTTTTTCCATTGGTGCTCAAGCCCCAAAGCCCTCAGGGAGGGAGCACCAGTGTCCAGAAATGAGCTTAGATTACTTTGAGCTTAATTTTGAATTGATATTGTCTTGCAGCCACAAATATGAGACACCTGATTACTTGCAGACATCTGCAGTTACACTGGAGCAAGTTATGGGACCTGCTATATTTGGTCCTGAACTAGCACTTTTAAAATGTTCAGTTGAGGAACAAGCAGTTTTAAAATCCATTATCCTGACAGCTGTTAGAGCTAGAGAGACAACTCATATGCCAGTGGAAAGCTGGTATGTTCAGCTTTTCCATGATAGAAGACATTTTTTGTGTCTCAAACATCATGAGTTAGCAATTCTTATCATCACATCATTCTGACTGTTATCTTTCCCCTCACCCTGCCACTTTATTTCCAATGTGTTTTCTGAGGCCACTTCCTTGCCAACCAGTTCTTTTTATTATCTGAAAGCTCTCAGAATCTTAGCTTCAGGTAGTATAAATAATAGTTTTAATGATGAAAAATATATCAGAATAGAAGTGGGGAAAGGTAAAAGGGTAACAAATTGATATGTTTTTAAGGTTTATATTCATGTCATTTGACAAAGACCTAGACACTTTATTAGGCCAATTACAAATGATTTGAGAATCAGTAAAGTTTTTTCCCTTCAGCACTGGCCCTTGGACCAATGATAAAAGAAAGAGTTTAAGACTCGTGTAAAGACTCATCTCTGTGTCTGGATTACCCCCAAATTCCCTGTTCATCCTTTTTTTACGCCATTGACATGCATGAAAAAAGCAAAGAACTAATTGTAGTGTGAACTGCTCTTTGGTGTTATCTAACACGGCCCTTCATCCTCTTTCATCCCACCAAGAAGACACAGGACAGAAGGAGAGCCACCCAGAAAGAGGCTGTAATAGTGAGAGAATCAAATTTGCATGTGTGAAATGCTGTCATTGGATTTCCAGTAGAGTTGTTCGGATAAGAAATCTCTGCCATTCTGAGCAGGGTAGGAAATTCATAGAAAGGTTCTTGTCCATTGAGACTACCACTTACCTACTTTTCAACACGTTGAGGGGTAATACTGCTGTGACTACAGCGACCTCACAGCATAGCAGAAGGATGGATTTGGGGTACTAGGAAAGGGATTGGGGGAGAGGGAGGATGTGTGTCTGAGAGTCTATACAATATTGAATCTGATCAGATGAAAAAGCTGCTAATGGCTGTGCTGAAAGAATGCCTGGTGTTCCAGCACTGATCTCAGTCACACCCAGGCTGGCAGGGAAATGGTCAGAGGCCCTGGGGGACAACAGGGTTCTGCATGCTGCCCTGGCTGAGGGCACTGGCTCTGCACTACCAGGGTATGTCTACACTACAAAGTTAATTCAATATAACAGCAGTTATTTCGAATTAACTTTAATAGCATCTACACAGGCAAACAGCTATTTTGAAATAAATTCGAAATAGTGGAGCTCTTATTTCGAATTTGGTAAACCTCATTCTACAAGGAGTAATGACAAATTCGAAATAGCTATTTTGAATTAAGTGCTGTGTAGACACTTAATTCAAAATAGGGGGCCTCCAGCCCTTCCCAGGGAGCCCTGGTGGCCACTCTGGGCACAACCAGGAAAACTTATTCTCCTCTCCCCCAGCCCCGGAGACATTAAAGGGGTAGACCCTGGCCACAGTGCCTGTGCCAGCTCCACGCCTGCCAGCCCAGAGCCAGCAGTGGCCAGCAAGCCACTGGCAGCCAGCACTCCACCGCTCCCCAGGAGCAGTCTGACAGTTCACAGGAGCCTGACAGGGGCTGGAGAAGGTGGGTGCCTTCCTGGTCCAGGGTGGAGATCATGGACTTTATTCAGGTCTGGGGGGGATGCCCCCAACTTCCATGATCTCAGCTTTAGATGGAGGAACATGGCCGTCTATGGTAGGATACCTGCCAACCTGACCACCAAAGGCCACATGCGAACCCAGGAGCAGATTTGCATGAAAGTCAGATTGGTCCGATGAGACCCCCAACCCTGAGCCCTGAGCTTCCCCTCCCCCTTCTTCCCCTTGCTTCCCCCTTCCAGCTCCCTCCTCCCAGGTTTCCCTCTCCTCTCTCCCACCCTCTCTCTTCCCCTCTCCCACCTCCTTTTCCCAGTCTCCCCAGAGGTCCATCCCCCCCTCCCCCCCAGTTTGGTTCAATAAACCCAGTTTCTATTTTTGAACATACATGTCTTTTATTTGACATCAGAAAAGGGGGGTAGGGACAGGTAAGTGAAAGGACGTGAGGGAGGAATGGGGCACGAGCCCCCGGTGGGGAGGACCAAGGAGGCTCTGAGGGCTCTGAGGGATAGATGCTCTTCCTCAGGGCCTCCTGGATCCTGACAGCCCCCTGATAGGCCCCTGGATGGCAGCCTGTAGCAAGTGAAGCCGGTTTGATGGCAACAACCCCACGAGATGCACCGGCATGCGCAGGGGCAGCTCTGGCTTCATGTGGCTTAGTTCTATGGTGTCCCAAGTGCGGGCACTCAGGGCACTCCAAGACAGGACTACTTTGCTGTCCCTCACCGAGTTAGACAAGCAAGCGGGGAACCCTGAGAACTCTCTGTCTGGGGTGGTGGTAGTGTCCCTTTAAGCACAGAGCTCAGTTAGCCTCAGGCAGCAGCCCCACACACTAAGTCCTAACCTGATGCCCTGCCGGCACTGGTCCTGGCCAACCTTAACTTCGGTTCAGGGTCCACTCAGTGTGGATGCACTATTCTGAAATAGCAAAATGCTATTTCGAAATAGTTTTTGTGTGTAGATGTGCTATTTTGAATTAGTTTAATTCGAATTAACTATTTCAAATTAAGTTAATTTGAAATAGTGCTGTAGTGTAGACATACCCCCATTGACCAGTGGGAGTTGGGGTGGGTGGGAGAGGGGTGCTAGCAGGCAAGAGCAGTGCACACTGCGCACTGCAGAGCCTTATGCCCCCCCCCCCCAGGAGCTAGGCCTGCTGACTGTTTCTGAGCATAGCACAGTGCCCTAGGACAGACAGGTGCCAGGCACCCTGGCTCAGCTCTGATGACCAGGAGCCACCCAGGTAAGCCTGAACCCCATCCCTTCCCTACCCTAAGCCCCCAGGCCTGAACCCTTTTCCAAACTGGAAGCCCCCTTTTGCATCCAAATTCCTTATCCCTGGGCTCACCCCAGAGCTCTTACCCCATTTTGAACCCCAATCTTCTGCATTAACCCACAGCCCCCTCTGATATTCCAAATGCCTCAGCCCAATCCTCAGCCTGGAGCCCCTCCTGCACTCCAGAGCCTACATCCCCAGACAGATCCCTCACCCTCTCCTGCACCCCAACTATCTGCCCCAGCCTGGAATCCCCATTTAGAACCTTCACCCCAATTCCTCCTCCCCACCCTCACCACACAATGTCCATGTGCCAAATGACTTTTGTTGTATGATACATCACTTCCGTTTTTCCGGGATACTAGATGTATCCCGGAAAAACTCTGCCACGTCCAGGGAACACATTTGCTTTTCCGAAATTTTTTTCAGAAGAGCAGACATGGTTTTTCGGCATCTCAGTAAACTTTGTTTTATGAGGAAGAAGGGATGTTCTGAAAAAGGTTTTTTTTTCTGACATTTAGCCCAATGTAGATGGGCCAAATGTCAGAAAAGCCTCTTCTGAAAAAAAGAAGTGGAAAAAGCTACACAATTTGCAGTTTGCAATTTGCGTAGCTTTTTCTGGAAGAGCAATGTAGTGTAGACAGAGCCTTATCGGTGCACAGAAAAAAAGTAATTCTGCACATGGACATGAAAAATGAGTGGGAACATGGGCCTGGCCTTTTCAGCTAATAGCTATCTCTTCCTCCCCCTGCCTGCCACACATGCCCACACCGCTAATATGATTGATCTGAAAATAAAGTTTTACATTTGTTCTCTTGGGAAATGGCCAGCACTCAGATTCTTAAGCTGAAGAACCACAGACAGGGAGGCTGTGTCTATACTGGGCTACTTATTCCAGAAAATCAGCCGCTTTTCCGGAATAAGCTGCGAGCTGTCTACACTGGCCCTTGAATTTCCGGAAAAGCAACGACGCCCTACTATTCCGGAAAAACTATTCTGCTCCCGTTCGGGCATAAGTCCTTATTCCGGAACACTGTTCCGGAAAAGGGCCAGTGTAGACAGCCCAGTAGTCTTTTCCGGAAAAAAGCCCCGATCGCGAAAATGACACTCAGGGCTCTTTTCCGGAAAAGTGCGTCTACATTGGCCACGGACACTTTTCCGGAAAAAGGGCTTTTCTGGAAAAGCAGCCTGCCAATGTAGATGCTCCTTTTCCGGAAATACTTATAACAAAAACTATTCTGTTTTAAGCATTTCCGGAAATTCATGCCAGTGTAGACACAGCCGGACTGTTTATGACTCTCCAAATCAGCATTTTTTAAGACTACATACATTCAAGACTTGCAAAAATAGAACTATTTTTTTAAAAGGCAAAACTGAGAGAGACCTTTAGTTACTGAATCTTGCAATGGCCAAGATGTGTTGGGATTTGACAAATCACGTATTTTCTGTTTAGATCAGTTATTTCAAAGGCAACAGGTTCAGTGACAGATAGTAAATATAGCCAGTGTTTTTAATCTAAACATATTAGACAAAATTAACACAGCTGATGTTGTTTTTATCCTCTCATCCTCATCTGGTGTAGCCTGTTACCAATGCACTTCATAGTGTTTGAATTTTCTCGTACAAACTCTATTTTTTTTCCTATGTAGTGGTTTGCTTGGGAAGATACCTGCAAATTCAGACATCTCTTATATTCTAATATTTTCTGAACATTTGATTAAAAATATGCTTACAGTTAACAACATGTGTAGGATATTAAAGTTGGCATCAGAATAAAAGAGATGTGTGTGGTTAAGAGAAGGCTCATCGATGCACTTGAACACATGAAACATCCATTCTGGGTCAGACCAAAGATCCATCTAGCTCAGTATCCTGTTTTCTGACAGTGGCCATACCAGGTACCCCAGAGGAGTAATCATGAAGTGATTCATCTCCTGTCACCTATTCCCAGCTCTTCACAGGGCACAACAGACAAACATGGCTTAATTCTAACCTCACTTGCACGCATCCAATCCCCACTAACACTGGGCAATAGAAGTCACTGGGAAACTGAATCTGTCTGAGGTCAGAATTCTGCCTATTGGTTGCAGCTAACCATATTGAGCGCTCCAAATTAATAACTCCAGTCTTACTTCATTAGTATTATTTGTTTTATGAAGAAAGTGACGGAAAAACTCAGTATGAAGACTCAGATTCTCTACTTGTGTAGTCATTTATACCTGTGTGTACTGGGTATAGTAGGACACCAGATGAAAATTCTTCACTCACACTGATGCTAGCATTTTGTATCTTATTAGAACAAATATAAATGACTACATGAGGGTCACTGCAGTACAGAATCAGACTCTCTTTCACCAAAGGGCCATGTTAAAACAATATGTAATGTAGCATGACAACAACATTGCCAATATATATAGTTCTCCATTTTAGACGCCAGCAAGAGTTTCATTTAATGGGTCATTGATCACCAGCAACTCTACAGCCAAGTTCATTGGTCATGTTTCTTCCAATGATGCCTTCATCCGCCTGCACCTGCATGCCACCTCTGGCCTCGAGCATAGTGTGGAGATTGGCTTCAACCATTCCTTGCCTCAACTTCAGTCTCTTGGCATAACCAAAGAGAACCAAGTGAAGATGTCAGCAGTACAAGGAGACAAATATAAGGGCCTGATGGACATTGTCCTTGGACAGTGCACTTTCAAAGCAGCTGGAGAAGTGAAACCAGCAAAAAATGAAACCAATATAGAATGGACAGTTACTTTGATGAATACATGTGTCACCCTTCAGGTAATTGCCCAGCTGATTTTTCTATAAAGTGCTTTAGCCTCTATGTTTTAATTCTAAGTGGGCATAGAGAGCTGCCTCCTATTCTCCATGTTTAACACCCTTTGCCACAATTACTGCTGGAGTAAGAAGCTACTCATTGGAAAGGTGGCAGAATCTTGCTCTTTAGGTGGAACAGGTAGAGGTGGGTTATCAAAGGTACCCTGCAGTAGCAGCAAGTGAGAGTGTTTGCAGAGACACATGTTCTAAAGTTGAAAGTATGGAGTAATACAGAGACAGATGCTACTGTCATTACCATAAAATAATGTTTAATCTCAACTTTGTAATTAAAAAAATTCTTCCTCCTAGACTCTAGGTTCTCAAAACTTTTATATTGGTAACCCCTTTCACATAGCAAGCTTCTAAGTGTGATCCTCCCCATGTTATAAATTAAAAACTCATTTTTTTCTTTAACACTGTAATAAATGCTGGAGGTGAAGTGGGAACAGGGAGTGGAGGCTGACAGTTTGCAATCCCCATGTAATACCTCATGACCCCCTGAGAAGTTTTGACTTCTGGTTTGAGAACTGTAGTTTTAATAAATCCATATTCTTTCATTCTAGAATTAGAATTTTGGAAATCTACTTTTCCATATCTACTATTTATTACAGAGTTTTACTCATCCCATCCCCAGGCTTGTTGAAGCAGGAAGGCTGAGCCAGTCCTCAGAATCCAATTAACAGGGCAGCTGTGTTTACAAGAATATGTGGCTTATTTGTTTGAAACAACTTTTTTCTTCTGTCACAGAAGTTGGGATTACCTCAGACTTTAGCCACCTGGGGCTCATTCATTGTGAACACCCGTAATATTAGCTCAACAATCAACCTCCAGTGTGATGGCAAAACAGCTGATGTGCAAATAGAGAGCTCCTGCGGACACAAACATGTTTTCCAAGGAATATTGAGGCACTCTGTTCCCCAGTTCAGTGACCTAGGGCTTCCTGCCCAAAACTCCATTCTACTTTCTGCAGCTAAAGGATCTGCAATTGAGGGCCTTTTGTTGCTACAGGCTGGTGAATGCAAGTTCAAGGCAAGAGGAGATTTACAGACCCAGAATAGAACTGAATGGACATTGGAGACAGAAATGGGATGTCAGCTACTGCAGGTACATGGGCAACTTTTAAAAGAGATCCTGGATCAATACAGTGAACGACTAATGGGGATTTAGCTATAATACGCTATGGGTGGGCTGTATAAGCCTCTCTGTGTAGCTTTGCAAACTCATCTCAGTCTTTAACTGCAGCACCAGATAGAGACTCTGAAAACTACACATCTCAGGTGTTGACAGATGCCCTCTACAGAATAGAACTAGAGGATGATTATAGCCCGTTATCACCATGATAAGGTTTGAATGTCAGACTCTAGCGGACATTATCAAAAGTTTTTGTTTCTTTCAAGAATTCCTTTTTTTTTCTTCATTAAAATTGGAATTTTTGAAATGTTTGGGCTTTCTGTTGCATCCCTGCTGAATATGATAGAAAGAATGATTCCCAAGGCCCATGGGGGAGAAGTTGTGTCCAATTTTTCATTTTTTCTACTATTTTTCCAATATGATCTTCTTTTAAAATGGCTATGAAGAGTCAAAAGGAAAAAGGTAGATAATTGATCCCATTCATTGGGTTGCCTTCTGTGACAGAAAAAGAAAAAACTAAAAATCAAAGTCCCAATTTGGGAAAGAAATCAATTTTGAACCATGAAAAACCATTCCAAAGGAGTTTTGGAATTTCACTTGGTTTTGCTAAATTGTTTTTCCATTTTTCAATTGGGTTGCATAGAATGCCACTTGCAAGAACTTCTGTTAGGGTCTGCAAATGTAGGCATTTAGAATTTCAAATCAAGCCTGGGATTTAAATATCCCACGCTTGATTTGCATCTTCCTGGCCAGGCACCATTTTTTTTTTTTTAATTTACAAGCCCAAAGCAACTGCCTGCGTGTACATGCGGCAGTGAAATGGGTGTTCGAAATAAAGCCCTAGTTCGAACTACCTTTTATTCTTCCTGCAATGAAGTTTAACAGGTAGTTCGAACTAGGGCTTTATTTCGAACACCCATTTCACTGCCGCATGTACACGCAGGCAGTTGCTTTGGGCTTGTAAATTAAAAAAAAAAAAATGGTGCCTGGCCAGGAAGATGCAAATCAAGCGTGGGATATTTAAATCCCAGGCTTGATTTGAAATTCTAAATGCCTACATTTGCAGCCCTAGTTTGACTGAGGCTGCAAGTGTAGACATACCCTTATCTATTTTTATGCAGATTAGGGTATTCTCAAAATTCAGAATGGTTCTGGTCAATAGACATTTCTAGATAGAGGAACTAGGAAGTTTGATTTCTTTTAATTTTAAGACTTTATACTATCTATTCCAGGGGTGTACAAAAGTGCCTCCATGTGCCAGATCTGGCCCGCCAAGTGGGTTGATCTAGCCTGCGGAGGCCCTGCCGTTCCTCCACCCTCCCCAGCCAATTATGGCCTGGGGGCAGGGGAAGCTTCCTCTGCCTTCCCAGGAGCACACGGTGCTTTGAAGCGCTGCGCACTCCTGGCAGGGCGGAAGGAGACTTCGCGCACTCCCCATCCCCTAAGCCCTGATTGACCTGGGGGCGGGGAAAGTGCACGAAGTTTCCTCTGCCCTATCCCCACCCCCAGGCCCTGATTGGCCTGGGAGTGGGGGAGCACAGGAAGTCTCCTCCCACCACTAGAGGCATGGGCCTAGGGAGAACCTGGGGGTGGGGGGCAAAAGGGCTCCCTCACCCCCAGACCACTCATGGTCTGTGGGTGGGGAAGCCCGGATGCATCCTGGCCCGTCCCTTCTGTTTGAGGCCACACCCCTTCCAGTGCAGCCCAGGGCCACTTCAAAAATTTTGGCAAAAAATTATTGCCCACCCCGATCTATACAGAAGTTGTAAATTCTAGAATCAAATTGCAAAGTCCTTTTTCAGTCTTTAACTCAAACAAAACTTGCATTTCACTAGATGCAGTGTCAATTTTGCCTGAGTAAATGTCTGGATAAAGACTTCAGGCTTTGTCCCTGAATATTTAATTGTGACCATCTCATGTCTCAAACTTGGGGCGGGGGAGGGAGTAAACTAGTCTCAATGTGGATTTATAATTCAAAAAGATGTTTCTCTTTTGGTAGGATCTCAATATCCCGGCTCAGTCACAGCTCACTGGATCTGTTCAGAGGGATGGCTGCCAAGCAAAACTTTTCTGTACCCTCAAAGCGGATGGCAAGTCTGCCTATCTGAAAGTGAGAACGGAGAGCCAGCCAAAGGTCACTATGGAAATTGAATTCAGGCATGAACTGCCTCAGCTGAAGGGAATACCAGGAGAAAATAAGTTGTCCATCATGGCAGAAAAAGAGTTAAAATACAGTATTCACATAGAATTGAAATCAGGCATTTGTGAACTTCAAGCCAATGGGGACCTTCAAGTAGAAAACAGAGTTCAATGGAAAATGCTTATTGAGAACAAATGCAAAACAATGCAGGTACTGCCTGGCATATTAATGATGAGCTGTTTTTAATCTTTACTAGCTGCACCCAGTTCGAACACAGGGCTAAGTGCTGCTCCCATTGCAGTCAATGGAGGATTTGCTGATGACGTCAGTGAGGGTGACGCTAGGACTTTGCTATACAGAAATTTAGAAAATTGTCAATGTAACAAAAATGAATCCTATAGGGACTCTATGTTCCTTTCTAAGTTTAAAGAAGAAGGCTTTATAAAAAAATGTTCCCACTATAAGAGCAAAAGAAAAAAACTGTAGCAATGCTCTCATAAAGCACAGGGCCAAATTCTGCCCTGACTTACACTCAAAAGTGAATGGATTTGTAGTATTTGGCCTTTACTCTTTGTGGAAATTTACTGTAAAATACTTTGGTAATTTATTTCATAAGGGACAGCCGTCAAAACACGGGACTCATGCTGGCTTTAGCTAGAGTTGGGGTTGCTCAGCACTGCTGAAAAGCATTTCCTGAGACTTGTATAAAAATATCCAAACAACGTGCAGAGACAAAATGTAAATAGAATTTTAATCAGATAATTTCAAGTTATGGAAATGTTCATGCATCTTTATAGAAAACAAGATTGAGACTGCTAATAGTCTTATTTAAAAAATGGGTTGCTTAGAAATCAGACTTGAAAGGTCAGTATTTACCAACAGTTGCCACATACCGTAGTGTTAGAGATGAGTTATTCAAAAGGGTGGTTGAAAACAAAAACAAAAAAATCATGGATTTTTTTCAAAATTTTCTTCAAAATGTTTGGGTTATGGCTCCAGGGTGAACTATACCATGGTCTCTCCCCCTCACTGACCACAGACACTCCTTCCAAGTGACAAGCAGACTTCCCCCAGAGTAGAATCCAAAACTACAATCTCCCCTGTCTCACCAACTGTATTTAATCAGATGGCACAGCTGTCTTTGGGTCCAACTACAAAATTCTCCCTGGAGTTTATGACTAGTATGAAATGCTGTGGCTCTGGACAGCTTCATCAAAAACAAGTCTGATTTATTTGTCCATAAAAACTTCACTAGCCAAGGGAAACAGAGTGAAAACTAGAGCAGTACAGGGAAAGGTAATTCAGTTTCATGGAAGATTTCAATATTTAAAAAATCTGCATGAAACAAAACTCCAAAAATTCAATTTTTGCCACAAAAGGAAATGGAATACTGGCTCTAGGGCAGTCTGCCAGGTGACTGGCCCAGAGCGGTGGACCCTTGAAGTCCTAGGATCCCTGACTCCGAGGCAGACTGGCAGACTGGCAGGAAACCAAGCATTTCTGGCAGAATACTAAATCAATGGTGCTGTGACTGATATAGCTGAAAAGAATCAGGAAGCAAATATCCCATTAGCATCTGCCATTTAATTCATTTATATTTTATTTTTAATGAGTATTCTTCATCTGTGTCATTCACAGGTAAAGCCCTAAATCTGTCAAGATTTACTGCAGCCATATATGCTGTGGGGGGGGGTCCTGCCCTGCTACTGTCACTGTTAGCATATTAGTCAATAAATGCAATAGGTTTCCATTTGTTTTGTGATTAATCACTGCTCATGGGGCTGTCATTTACTGCTCATGGGGCTAACCTTCATAGCATGGCAGTTACTTGGAGCAAATGAACATGAGTAGATATTTAGCCCTAAAGAATTATATCTTCTTCACCACAGTTTATCATAATCTAAGAATGTCTAAGGGCTACTCTACACTACCGTGGGAGATTGAGTTACACAACTTCAACTATGTGAATAACATAGCTGAAGTTAATGTATTTAGATCTACTTATAATAATCTCTTCACTGCTGTGTGTCAACTAAAGTTGCACTATTGTTGATTCCCCTTTTGCTTCTTGTTGAGGTGAAGTACTGTCAATTTATTGCATCTATACTAGATGCAATAAATTGACCCCTCCTGTGTTGGTTGGAGCCCTGTAAATCTGGCCTGTAGTGAAGACATGCTCTGAGAAGTGCTGTAACTTTTTTTCCTCCAAAGTGGAAGGTTCCATCCATGTAAGTGTAACCACCAGCTGGCAGATTTGAACTTAGGACCTTAGTATAGGAGACTCTACAGCTTGAACTATTAAGCAAGCTGGCTCTCAGCTTAGGCTATAGAGTTCACTCATTCTTAGTTCTTACTGTAGGTGGTCTAAGCGCCACTACATAGAACAGTGAACTACACTCACTAGGGCTATGTCTGTACTGCACCCGTTTTGCACTAAAAATATGCAAATGAGGCTGTGTGGAATATTGCCAAACCTCATTTGCATAATTAATGAGCATCCGCTTTTTGTGCAAGAGGCTTTTGCATGAGGCTTCCTTATTTTTTCAGGAAGAATGGCTCTTGCACAAGAGGGTTTTTTTGCACAAGAAAGTGCTGAGTAGACAGCTCCTCTTTGAGCAAAAACCTCTTGTGCAAAAATGGCTCCTAATTAATTATGCAAATGAAGCACAGCAATATGCTAATCTGTGCTTAATTTGCATAGGTTTTTGTGGAAGAAGGAAGCTGTGTAGACATAGCCTTTGTGAGCTGTATACACCAGTGTGAAATGAGTGCAAAACACTGCCATTCTGGGCTCTGCAGCACATTACTGTTCTGCACCATTTATACCCATGTGCTATGTGTGTATAAAATCAGACTCCTAGTAAAAAGGCAGCTAAACTAAGTAATATATAGTCCTTTATGGAAAATCTTACTGAAAACCTACATTTTTGTACCATGAGCCTACATCTCATAGACCGCTGTGCTTACAGATATGAATGAAAAGAAGAAGAGGTTAAGATGGAAAATTTTGGAAATTTGTAATCACTGAATGAGCCAGACATCCCAGAATACTCTGGCTGCTCTGCACCACATGCATGGCAGCCATAGACTTGGCTTCACTCAATTTATGGCTACTTTGTCACTACAGCAATGTAAAGCACATCACTGAATCTGACAGAATAATCATGAAAATCTTTCACATTATTTTGTTCCCCATTTATGCTATTCCACATATTAAAATATAAGCAAACATTTTAAAATAGGTAAGAAGAAGAAGCAATGTATACTTATTTACTGTTTAAAAAAATTCTGATATTTACCATGCACTGACTAGATAATCATGTTGTCTGATTTACTAGTCTCTTAGCCAGATGCCCCATAGTCCATTTATTAAGGGGAAAAAAGGTTAAATAAACATAAAAGATTCAAGTGGAATGTTTATTTTAATTATTACAGGATCTTGGAACACCAATAAAAATTGATGGATCAGGATACATCCTGATAGATAAAATGAACTTAGATTCACAAATGCAAATCATTGTCGATGAAAGGACATTACAGGGACTTCTTATATTAAAAGCCACTGACGTAAGTATCATGCTGATTATTGGAATGAGTATGAGGTAAAGTGCGATTGTATCTACAAACAACTATTTTATTACTAGGAAAAACAGGTAGGGAAACTGCAATTTTGTCTTTTAACTAACAAACAACAAATATATAGTTTGAGGCAACATTAAAGCCCAGCATGTGATTTAGGAAATTGCTATAATGTACTGTAAGTCAAATGCTATGGATAACATAATACACCCCACCTCAGGTTTCTGAATTACTTGCTTATGTTCCTTGTAGATGTTTATTTTTATATTGTACTTTTATGCCTTTTATTATATTTGGACAATAACTACTATGCTCAATACAATGCTACAGAAGCTACAATATATCTCCCTACTGTAATATCGTATAGACACCATAAAAGTCTACAGCAGTGTACATACAAGAAGTAAAAGGTTTCTGATTAATAAAGAGAACACTGAGTTTAAAAGTGCAACTTGATAGAGTAGTGGCCAGTTCAATCGTCTATTTATTTCTTCAATAACACAATAAAATTATGGTGATTATAGCTCACCTTGCTTTTACCATTGTACAGCTTGGCTTTACTTGTTTTCAGATAGTGTTAGATAGCAGAGAATGAGCAGTATAATGGCATTAGTATCAATACAATTATTACTTTTAGCTTACAGAAATTATTTCTCCAGAGTGTGAGGAGATAGAGGCTTACTGAGTTGTTCTTTGAGCTGGTTATAAACCACAAGGGAAGGCTTTCTGTGAAGAAGACCCTCCTAGTTCAAAACTATGTGTGTTTGAAATTGTTAACAGGATAAACAAGAGCTGGATGCCTCTTTGACTTCAGAAAAAAATGGGGACCTCTATAGAAGATTCATTCAGTTTAGTGTGGATGGCAAAGAAGTAAGTGTCACCACATCCCTGTTGCACAGAGTAAAGATTAGAAACATTGAGATGATTTGATGACTATTTATTTTTTTTATTTGGCATAGGTGACAAAGTGCTCCTGGTTAGAACTGTGAATGATGCATTAAAAGATTTACTGTGTGGGGGCTCTTTCATGGCCTTACAAGCTTCAGTTAAAGAAGGCTTGAAAGTCACTGAACCATGGACACTTGCCCATCCAGAAATAGCATGAGACCATTCTCAAGACCTCTGTGACTTACCCTGGATATTTAGCCACATTCTCAAACAGAAAGTCTGACTAATTAGTGTAGCCATAGGTGGAGGGGGAGGGCAGGTGCAGTTGCCCCATGTTCTGGCAATTTAAAAGGGCCCAAGGTTCCCAGCTGCCACCACTGCTACTGTGGCGCAGCAGCTGCCAGAGCCCCGGGTCATTTAAAGTGCTTCTGGAGCCAATGGTCTAGGTGGAACTGAGGGCTGAGTGGAGGGAGACTACTCCCAGGTCCCGCCCCTTCCAACTGAGCCCTCCCCCATCAGGAGGACCTGGAGAATATTCCCCTCTCCTGCCCAGGGCCCAACAAAGTCTGTCGCCAGACCTGCTAATTAAGAGCCTGTTCTAAAGTCCATTTAGTCACTGACTATACTGAGCTTTAAATCAAGTGTAAGTCCCCCAAACCAATGTCCTTTAAAGGCATGGAAAGATTTTCATTGACTTCAATGGACACTGAATTGGGCCTTAACTATTAGCCTGCCCAGTCTCCAATATGTTTTTTTTCAATCTTTCAAATTGCACTATCCCCATAACAAGGCATTTAATAAACAACAAATAGCTGAGGAAGTGGGTTGTGCCCACCAAAGCTCATGGTACCATCTACATGTTTTGTTAGTCTCTAAGGTGCTGCTAGACTATTTGTTGGTTTTTTAGGTTTTTCCAGTTACAGGCTAACTCAGCTACCCCCTAAAGGTTTGAAGCTTTTGAAAATGTTAGGAATGATACATGATGCCAATCACCAAAGGGGTAGCAAAACTCTTCATTTTTTAAGTCTTTGTGCAACACCATCATTTTTGCATTCCCTTCCATTTTTAGAAAAACAGTAATTTTGACAAAATTCACATTCCATTAATAGCCTATACAAATGTTATATTTTCTGTTAGGAAATGTTTTCTGTAATCCAGCAGAAATGATTGTTCTGGGAAGTACTGTTTTTCTAAAAACTGAAGGGAATACTGAATGATCAGAAATGATCGTTCTGATTGGTCACTATGTAGTCTATGCTGGAGATGCACTGTGTACAGGTGATAACATATTTTGTGCTGACAAAACAGATTACAGAAGAACTGAACTTCATTTGGAAGCTGGACCGTGTGTCGATTAACTACAAGCTCACACATAACATAGAGGCACTGAAGGCACTGAGAATAGAAGACAGGATAGAGTTGCAGGTATGTTGTCCTTTGGTTTGTATGGAAGTATACAACAGAACTGCAATGGAAAAAAAAAGAGGATTGTAGATGTTACTGGGTGCTGTACCTACTACCTATGGGTACGTCTACACTAGCCCCCTAGTTCGAACTAGAGAGGCTAAGGAGGGTGACTGAAATTGCTAATGAAGCGTGGGATTTAAATATCCCATGCTTGATTAGCATAATCCCGGCCGGTCGCCATTTTGGAAACTGACTAGCCCGAAGTAACTGCCCACATCTACACGCGGCAGAGAAACGGGATTCCGAGATAAGCTCCTGAGGAGTAACAGTTAATCCTTCACAGGTGGGTCTTGGGTACTTAAGGGTCCTATTGTCCCTGGAACCTTGCCAATTAGCATGTCCATAGGGCGAGCCCATCGCTCAAGCACATTCAGAGAGACTTTCAGTCTCCATACAGAGTACAGATTCCTAACTCCACACACAGACATTATACAGATATATGAAGAGCAGATACAGAATCAGAAGAAAGTAAGCTTTTGTTTGACCCCTCACATGGCCCCCTTTGTACCACTTTTGGGGCAACATCCCCCCCCCCATGGGTGCAGCAGTGACCCGGCTGCTCCCCTCACAATCCAATAACATGACATACCTTCTGGAAGAAATCAAGACACTGGAGCAGCTGTAGAATACAACTTTATTTAACCTTTCTGTTCAACAAAAGTTAAATTAGCATGAGTAGCAATTTGGTACCACAAATGGGCCCCAGTGTGTGACGGTTTTGCAGGAGATGCAGGTTGCATGCACAATGTTCTTAACATTGTGATAGACTCTCCAAAGCAGCATGTATGCTCCCCCACAAGCCAAATCCAGCACGAGCCTTGGGGTTTCCTCTTCTCCCCTGCAGGAAGTTGACACTGACACTGTAATCTTGCTGGGGGAGAGGGGTTGTTTGAGGCTAGAGTGCCTGGCAGGCAGGGGCCTGAGTATGAGCTAGGCAGAGGTGGTAGTTCCCCACTGGGTCCTAGAGTGTCAGGGCCCCAAAGAACAGCTGGGAGCCACTGTCACCATTCCCGCCATCCCCTGGCTCAGTCCTGGCCCTCCTCCGGCAGGC